ATTTGGTAAATTGTCAATAACGTTCGTTGATCCTTTTCCACCTACCGTCTTGATGTTTGCCTATTCCTGAACTTCTCAGAAAGGGATTCCATATTCGATTGAGGTTCACCGCTTCTTCTTTTCTGTTGAAATTCTCCGTGTGTTTGTGGATCTCTATTGCCTCCCGTACCAGTCGGCTATGGTATCCCTGGTCGGGTGCAGAGAGTTCCGTGTTCTCAAACAGAATCCTGTAGTTTCCTTCACTGAATGCGTGTTCTGCTACAGTTGACTTGTCTGTTTTGCCTAATCTGCAATTTTTTTCATGCCCTCCAGTATTGTTCCCATGGATCTTTTGGTGGTTCCCACAAGTGTTCGGTATGCGATAAACCCCTGCTGCTGAGAGAGGATCCCTTTTGTCTTTAGCCAAACTGAGGCTTTGTTGAATCTTCTTGGTGGGTTTGAAAACCATTTCAATGTTGTGTCTCCCCAAGAGATTTCCAATTCTGTCTGTGACCTTAGGGATATAAGGTAGATACGCGCATGCAACCACCTGAGTCTTCTCCCCGTTTTGAGCCGTAGAACTCTTCAGTTTCATGGCTTCGTTCACCTTCGGGTACACTGTATCCATTCGATCCCAAAGTCACTTGGAGATGTTCCAGCTCTTCCTCTAAATGCTCTGGTCCACTTATGCTTCGAGCTCGTTCCGTTAGAGTGGAGATGACTCCTCTATCCACTATCAGCAGCAAGGGTTTGTTGCATACCGTGCACTTGTGGGAAGGTACACATCGAAACCACCTAAAGATCCATGGGAACGAAACTGAAGGAGCATGAAAGAAACTGCAGACTAGGCCAAACAGACAAATCATCTGTGGCAAAACACGCACTCAGTAAAGAACCATAGGATTATGTTTGAAAACACGGAAATCATTGTCCCCGACTAGGGATACCATTGCCAACTGGTACGGGAGGCAATAAAAGTCCACAAACCTCAGTCGAATATGGAATCCTATTCTAATCATCTAAAGGAACAATTCGTTCAGGCCAGTCTCAACACCCTACACAGTAGGTTAATGGACTGAAAACTATCAGAAAACAACTACTCCCCTGGCTAATACCACGAAGGGCGTTGGATTATATCCGACAGGTGTCAGTGCAGGATTCTTCACAGAAGTTATTCCTGCATATGCTGTTGGCGATNGTTTTGCTTACTTTTTTCTTCAATTACCGTGGCTTTGCGCATCCGGAGTTCTTGTCACACTTTATTGACCATACAACCGCTCAATAAAGTTTATTATCTTGGAGTTATGCGCCCCTTTCTAGAAACAATACGAAGAAAACGTCCGGTATTGTGGAAAGATAAGTCATGACTTTTGCATCACGATAATACACCTGCTCACTCGTCATTGCTTGTTCGTAATTTTTTGTCCAAACTGCATACGCGTGACTGATGAATCAGGAAAGGAATTGTATTTCGCGTAAAAAAAATTTATTTGTAAATTGCAAAGCGCTTTCGGCTATTACGCCATCATCAGTGCGATACCTGCAACTAAGTAATATTCAATGATATTTATTTTAATTTTGTAGAATTACTTACTCGTCAAGTTAAAAATATGGAACACTCGCATTATTACTTAATAGGTTTTTTTAAATTCAACACCCACAATTCTTATTATTTTTGAATTTGTATTAAAATTTTCAATATTTTCTGAGAAAAGCAATTTTCAATGTATCACATACCCGTACAGCCTAATTACCTGATTAAATCAGGCATACCAGAGATGTTCTCAATTTTCGTTGAGAAAGAGGATGACGTCATGATTTGATCCGATTTGATAGTGCTTTAATATTACCTGAAGAATATGTTTTTTTCTGTTAACATATATGACGCTCTCATACACCAAAATCATTTTCGTAAACTACACCTTACGATTTGATCTCCACAAACTTCATTTTCAAAAACATGTGATATTTTTTGAAAATAAAGTTTTTGGAGATCAAATCGTGTGTAGTTCATGAAATTACTATGAATCTTCATAAAGTAACGGTCGAATCAATCAGAAAACCAAAATCTTTCGTATACCGTTGTACACTGGTGGAAATGTGTTCGCAAATGACGGGAGTTTCAAAATCATCGATATATCAATTCAAGAATGAGAGGAAAAATTAAGCTGTGATATCAACAAAGCCATCCGTAGGAAGAAAAAATGTGCCAGCAGATGAAAACTACAAACTTGCAATTATTAGAAACGCGGTAGACTCTTTTAATTGCAAGAAAGGAATATTGACTCTCGGCGAAATGATGAAAACTTTCATAAAAGACCGACGAAGCTCAACGAATGATGTACAATTGTAAAGATGTGGCAAGACAAAAACATTAGAAGTTCACGTCGAGTATTTTCTGAAGACTGGTCTACCGTTCTGAAGCCGTTCAAATAAAGCTCGTTTCACTGAATAGGTAGTAAACAAGATGGCACAGAAATAAAATATTATTATTCTGCGTCTGTCTCCTTATCATTCCGAACTCAATCCTATTGAACTCGTTCGGGTTCAAGTGAAGGATTTCGTAGCAAGAAGAAACACGACATTCAAAATAAAAGTTGTCAAATTACTCTTTAGAGAGTCATTAAAAAATGTCGATTGAAGGTGGTCAT